ATGAATATGAATTATGAACCCTAAAAAGACCTAACGTAGCTTTCTGAAAACAACTCCCCCTCCCAAGACTCCTTAACCGACCTAACCCCTTTATCCCCGAAAGACAAAACAAAACTCTCTGAAAAAAGCTCCCCCTCCCAAGACTCCTTAACCGACCTAACCCATTTATCCCCGAAAGACAAAACAAAACTCTCTGAAAAAAGCTCCCCCTCCCAAGACTCCTTAACCGACCTAACCCATTTATCCCCGAAAGACAAAACAAAACTCTCTGAAAAAAGCTCCCCCTCCCAAGACTCCTTAACCGACCTAACCCATTTATCCCCGAAAGACAAAACATAACCCTCTGAAAAAAGCTCCCCCTCCCAAGACTCCTTAACCGACCTAACCCCTTTATCCCCGAAAGACAAAACAAAACTCTCTGAAAAAAGCTCCCCCTCCCAAGACTCCTTAACCGACCTAACCCATTTATCCCCGAAAGACAGAACAAAACTCTCTGAAAAAAGCTCCCCCTCCCAAGACTCCTTAACCGACCTAACCCATTTATCCCCGAAAGACAAAACATAACCCTCTGAAAAAAGCTCCCCCTCCCAAGACTCCTTGACCGACCTAACCCATCTATCCCCGAAAGACAAAACAAAACTTTCTGTATATAATTCATTTTCCCAGTTCTCTTTTTTAATGGCATCTAAAAGAGAAAGTAATCAATAGTCAATTCTTAACATAGTCGAATAAGGGTCACACTGATACCAAAAGATGATTTCCCATAGGAAGTAGTGTTGTAGATTTCGTAACTACCAATACTAAATCTATCTGAGATTATTACAGTAAATGATTGTAAATAATATAAAATACTTACTAGTAGATCTGGTAGTAGATTTTCTAACATTGCTGTTAATCAAGTCATCGTCTGAAATAATAATAATTATAACAAATTATAGTGGATTTACAGTGGATTCAGTAAATAAATAGGATTCAAAGGAGCAAAAAAAAAAAATAGAATGCAAAGCTATGAATGGTATGAAAAGTGTAGAATGCAAAACTATGAAAGTGTTAGCTCAAACCAATCGTAAAGTTTTTAACTTCTGCTCTGTCCTGATTATATATATATAAATAATATTACCTTCAGTAAAGTCTACATCTTCAGCCCAGTTTTCAATGTATATGAAGTCCACCTCACCACTCCACATACGATCATCGATAGGTAGCCAATAGCAAAAACAGCAGTCGTATACACTTGATACTGCAATATAACATAATATACAATATAAGTATACACTGGACACTGCAATATAATATAATATACAATATTAGTATACACTGGACACTGCAATAAAATATAATATACAATATTAGTATACACTGGACACTGCAATATAATATAATATACAATATACACTTGATACTGTAATATAATATATTATACAATATACACTTGATACTGCAATATAATATAATATAATATACAATAATAGTATACACTGGACACTGCAATATAACATAATATACAATATACACTTGATACTGTAATATAATAAAATATACAATATACACTTGATATTGTAATATGATATAATATACAATATACACTTGATACTGTAATATAATATAATATATAATAATAATACACTTGATACTGTAATATGATATAATATACTTTACAAGATTAGTATACACTTGACACTACAATAGTTACCTCTTTTGTATCATGGAAGTTTGTATAATAAAGTGATTAGATTGGATTGTATGCCAGCGAATACAGACAATCCCTTTATCTACAAAATTCCATGATACAAGAAAGGTGACTATTGCATTCAAGGTATAAGTATGAAGTTCGTAATAGCTTGGGAAGTTTATAGCGTTATAACGTCATAATAACGTGACGCTCAAACCCTATCTCTAAGCTCTATGTTACCATGACGTCAAATCAGCTATGGGGCATTTTAAGTTCACTTTTTCTCCAAAATATAACGTTATTTTTATATTTTAGGGAATTTCATTTTTCCAAAATCTGAACATAGATACTCTATTCAAATTCAATTTGTCAAAACGACATTAGAATACGTTTTTAAATAAAAGCAATGGTGAATTGTATGTTTTGTACGGTACAATTTTTAACATTTGTCCTAAAATAAGACATCAAATATGAAAAAAAAAACTTGGTAAATGACTGGAGGACTCTAGCACTATAAAATGAAGAAAAAATAGGAAAAAAACAAGAAAATACCTTTATTTGGTCTTAAATTTTGATTGAAACAGTTCATCAAAGCTTTCTTAAATCTAAAAAAATAAAAAGATTAATAATCAGGTCTAGAGAGTTAACGAGTCTTTTAAATTGTACTAATCTTTTCTGATTATCACCGAAACTTTGTTAATCTGATTTCTGAATTAATAATTATTTGAGAAAAAAAATGACAGAATTATAAGCCTTCAAACTTATTCACATCGGCTAAAAAAATTTTCAACATTTGATTTGGTTTCGCTTAAATCTGAAATTATAATTAATTGAAACTAAATAAAGATCTACTTACAATGCTGCCATTTCAAAACTAGTGATGACAATACCAATGTAATTCTTTGCAAAATTCAAAAAACTTGCAGAGAAAATTGTCAAGCGTTCGTTTCTAAAGAAATTTCAGCGCTTTGTGGCAAATTATGCATATTCAATTATGACGTCATAATCGATTTTCGTTTAAGATTAAGAGTTTTTGATTGGCTTAGTTAAAATTGAAACAATAGATTACTATTAGAAATTAATTTAGATTTAAATTGTGGACTGTTTGCATTCGTGTCTGCATAAAATTTATTCCAATCTACAAAAATAAATCAGAATAAAGATATTATGTCTGTTATCCTTTCCTATATCCTTTATTTTTACATAACAAATGCAAACTGCTTTCAGACTTAACCTATTGTGAATAGTAAAAAAAGTTTTATTTATTTTAGTTTAGATTATATAATTTGGATTCCGAAATCTTATTCAGCAGACAAAAAATTGTTTAAAGTCTATTATACTCAACGAAGAAATATGCTCCTATACCCCTCTGCCACAAATCTTTCACAAAAGGATTTTTGCCACATATAGAAAAGACATCCGAGTTACACCCATCTTCACAATGTCAAGGTAATACCAACCTCATCTATAAGGACTACCTTGACTTCTTTAGGCACTTTTCTTACAAAAATCCATAAAGATACACGACAATACAACTAAGATTTTTTATCATTTTCAACCGCTTTGATCTTTCTCTGCTTAAGTCTTTATTTTTTAAAAAATTCTCGGATTTGCTGAAAGCCCGTGTATAAGCGTTGTAAGTCTTGTATTGAAAACGTAGTTAGAGCTGTCATTTTAAAAAAAATATAATTCAAAATCAAATGTGTCATCTCATCTGAATTATATTAGAATTTATTCGTAGAAATATTATTTGATGACTTGATGATTTAACGTTTAAATTAAAAATTTCGGACTTGATTAATATATCAGGGGCAATGGTGAATGGTATTCATTTGCAATAATGGAATTGGTCGGTTGTCAGAATTTTTAAGGCGGGCAATCCATCTCTTGGTGCATTGCTTGTAGCTACGGGCATGAACAATAGTTTTAGCATTGGTTCAAAGTTATGTTGTATTACTTCCCTTGACACACCAAAGGGAGATAAATTTCAGTCTAAATTGACATTCACTATTCACATACCAGCATGCAGATTTTAATAACATACTGTTTGACACAAGAACTTAATGGATACAGTCTTCAATTTCAGTTTTGCAGTGTAGAATAATTGAATTGATCCACATGTTCTGTCTTGATCAGCTTCACAAGGATTTTGAAAAATTCAATATTCATGTGTCATGTTAAATGTGTATTTCAATATAATTCTATATTATTTTTTTTTTCTAGAGAGCAGCTGTGTTTAAGATTTGTCATTTCTCTTCCCTTCATCAACTTTCCAGATTACTGTTGCACTTTCAGATAGAAACACCAAATTTTCCACAAATTATTCAATCAAATGTCATTATATCTTAAATTGATTGGGCCACTATACCTCCATAATCATCATGTAACAATCTATGTTGACAGGTGCATTAATATGAATATTTCATTCAGCAATATTCAGGTGTAATTTGTTTCTTAAAAGGTTGAATGGCTCTTGCTTTAATTCAAAGTTTTTTCCCATAATTCTGAATTTCTTCATTAAAAAAATAAATGAAGACACCAATATTTTAGATCATTATATTGCTTTTTATTCAAATAAAGAGTTTTATCACCAAAAGGTTTTTGTTTTGTCAGATGGTACAGTGAAATATAACAAAAAGCTTGACATAAGTCATCCACAAATTCCAATACCTCAACTCTACAGACAGGCAATATGATAAGCTTACAAGGTTAAGCACAATAATGATCAAAATTTAGTCATATAAACAAGCAGAATTTTTTTTAGCTAAGCTAATTAGAAATAGTTTTCACAGCTCACCATCTAATCTATGTCTGTACAGAATCATCCGCATTTGAATGTATCATATATAGAAACAGAAAGTGAAATGTGAAGTGAAGACTATATTCACATAATTTATATTCAAGACCAAAATCAACCTCAAAAAGGTGAACCTGTCTCTTTTCAAGTGATACTACATCTTAGAATGAACATAAAATTTAAGTTCTTGAAAATGGTCAATATGAGTATATATTCATCAGTGAACTTACCTGGTGTCATAAAGTTACAACAGAATCCCTGTAAAATCTGGAAAATTGGAAAATTAGTAACTAAGTAATTATTGAAAAACGCTTAATCTTGATATTAAGCGTTTTTTGGATTTATTGGATTATATAAGGATCCTGTTATGTTATTTATGACGCCAGGTATATCTACTTATGAATATATGCTCTTATTGGCCAAGTAATTTTATGTTTATTCTAAGACGTAGTATTCTTTTAAAGCTTATTGGCATATTTGATAAAATCCACAGTCTGTCTCTAAGCCATGAAAGGATGTATTGTATTTAATATTACTGAAAAAGTTGAAATTGATTGGATTCTTTTCATGATCATGATGACATTTTGACAAATTAATAATACTGATATAAAATAGACAATCCTTTTCATTTCTTCTTCTATACAGTGTACTCTGTGAATTACAAACAAAATAGAGTATTACAACAATCTGAACAATCCATTGAGATTCAAGATTTATTTTCTTATTATGTCAGTTTAAAAATTGAATGCTATGACATTTGCATGAGATTAAGCACACCGCTAATTAGATAATCCAACATATAATCAGGATGAAGACTAAAGACTGCAAGTGGCAATTCTGTCGCTAATATTGTCAGTGATAAACAGAATTACAAATGTGGTATGATATGAAAAGGTATAATTTATGACACTTTCTATAATCAAACATATTTTTACAGACCCATCAGATTACACAGAGTACACTGTATACAAGTATATTAGTATATAACTTAAACGTCTAACATCTTCAATCATTGATTGCGTACATGTAACCAAAATATATAAACATGTTTCAAAAAATCAGCAACCAAAATAAAATGGACAGATCTGCTATAAATAATTAAATTATAATAACTTAATTAATCAATATATACTATCAAGAGATCTTATCTCTAATTTTGATAAAGACACTATAGATAATATGATGTAGGTTTTTGACCAGAACAATTGAAATATTTACAATATCTAACACACTTAATACAATAATCTTTTGAACCTTTTGTCTTATATTACAATTTTTACAGGTTTCCAATTTCCATTCTTCTAGGCTTTGTCAGGTGATTCTTTTGCCAAGTTCCAATTCAAATCCTGAGGCTTTCTGTAATTGCTTCTCTAAATACTCCACTGCTGTTGGTAACAATTGAAAGACTTTCTGTTGCTCAGCTGGTGTAAATTCACTCAGTACATATCTAGCTATAATATTGGAATCTCTGCTATCAGGACGACCAATTCCAAACTTTATTCTGGTAAATTCCTGAAAAAGACATAATAGACATAACTATATTGCTAGCATCAACAATTTCAATTGATATTGATGGAATTTCAGACTTGTAATTTACAAAAATGGTAAAAATCCAATCCAATAGACCTTATCCACACGTCAGCCATATTGAATCCAGAATGAGGCTCATAATGCTATCAATAAAAAGATAACGATGTGTCACAGCATAAAATCTTCACCTTGACATCTTATACAAATCATATCTTACATCATCAAAATAGAAGTTGATTAAGCTATTTAAAGATACTTTCAGATGAAGTTTACCCTTACACATTTCTGACATTGAGCAGTTTAAAACCCAATTTCTCAAATTGCATTGGATTTTTAATGACAGGCAATTCATTCATATGACATTGCCATCTTTTCAATAGAGGACATTATGTACGAAATGAGACTTGCATTCGACGTGTTCATAACAAGAGTGAATAAAGAGAGGTTATTAAAGCGACTTTATGGACTGATACACATATACATTATCACTTGTTTCAATACGGGTGGCTTCTCTATTAACCAGCAACATAATTTGTTACATTACATTTCTTATGTTTCTTACATGGAATAACACACATGAACATAGTTCACAGCCATTTTGAATCACTACCTTGATTTAAGTCAAATTTTAAAAGATTAAATATTTCAATCAGGCATTCAAATTGCATTAAAAGGTTTAGAAATGGCTAATAAAATGTGATTGGAAAGCTTTGTTGAATATTATAACCTTTTTAAAAATTTGACTTATGTCAAAATGGCTGTGAACTACATTCGTGTGAACCATACATAGTTTCGTATGTATATACCCCAGTGGCTGGTTAGGCCGCTGTTACAAAGTGACATCACAATATGTAAATGTCACATGTAACTTGAGGTCATAGTATATGACATTACATGTATATTTCTTTCACATTTAGTATTCAAAATAAAAAAACTACTCCCATCATACATGTCAAATGAACAAAGTAGAATTGTAGTCAAGGGGAGAAAGACTTATCTTGTTATTTTAAAACATCTTACTTATTCACTTTAAGTGGTCCTCAATTTAAATACTTACATCAGTTTGAAGAGAATCCATTACAGATTTAACACCATTGTGCCCCCTGAAATACAAACCAGTATAAATAATATATTTATAAACAAACTTTAGTTAATACAAAATTAATGACATCTTCTGACTTCTAATTCAAACTGATACAAGTAACATAAATAATTGAGTGGTCTAGGTCAATACACTGCTCAAGCCATTGAAATGTTGATCTTCAGATGTCATTAAAATATTTATATACATGAACTTGTGAATCAAAAAAGCCATTGTCAAAAAGTTTAGTTCATTGACTCGATACCTTGTTTCCATTGAAAGATAGCTGTTTTATAGCATATATTTGGAGGGATACTGGTACACTTGGTTTCTCTAATCACTAAAACACACAAATACTAACCTTGAGCTACCACTAGATTTTATAGCATATTTGCCTAATGATTTATCTAATTCATCTTGGATAATGAATATATTTTCTACTGGTATACCAAATTCACTTACTGTAAAACAAATTAGTTTATTGATAAATGTTGGGAATTTACAATATCTTATCGGTTAATTGTATCTTGATCTGATTCTTATAATATTTTATACAACCATCAGCTATTGGAATATCATTATATTGTTAGAGAAATTTATATTTTTCAGAGAAAAATCGAAACAGCTCTATTTCACCCAAAATAAGAGCAAAATATTACATAATGATAATAATGGTATTATCATCTTTTGCCATTAAAAACCATTGTACTATTATCTGTTTCTATAATCCAATTAGTATTATATTTAGTCACTTAAAACCATTGTACTATTATCTGTTTCCAGTTCAAAAATACATATAGTATTATCTGTTTCCAATTAAAACTTATTCAATAATCTAATTAGTATTATCTTTGATAATAAAACTATTGTACCATACTATTATCTGATACCAATTAAACTCAATATAATTACCTGTCATAGACACACTTTGTCCATTTATATTCATAGGTACTTTAGGTTTCAATAAAATTAATTCTACATCATCTTGTAATTTACATGATGTAACATAACCTTTACATAGTTTCCTCTCGCTAGTCCATTTAATGTTCAGATGATCAGCTAGCCAATCCACAAATATCATACCAATATTATGTCTTGTACCTGGGTAATCATAATTACCTAATCCAACTATCTACAAACAGAAAATCATACCAATTCAAAAATGAGTTAAAGATAAAGATAATTTTGAATGTTTTTTACCCTTAAAAATGGTTCTACTTATGCAAGTGATTGTTTAGTATAAGGTTTTATGAGAGAAACTCTCTTATAGAAGCACTGGCCTAGGTCACAAGTATGGACTGTGAATTTCAGCATTGGAATACATCAATTTAATAGTAAGTCTTTTCTGACATTTTGGCTTCAGCAGTTATTTGACAAGTTAAATATGAAGATAGTACTAACACTAAAATTACCATCTACTTTGACTGTAATGATGTTTGTAGCTTCTCTGTCTAACCTGTGTAGACCAAATTTTGAACTTATTGTGCGTTGAAATCAACCAAATCAAATATGTCCACACTATAAGTCCATTAATTAACACCCAGCCTAGTCACTCATGAACTGTTGTACCTATGTAATTGTTATTGTTTCTTTAAGTGCACATAGTCAAAAAGAGTTAACGACTCTTCTAGTTTACTGAAACTGTATTCATTTAACTTTGACATTCATTTATTTATCATCTAATAACTCTTCGTTTCTTACTCACCAAAAATTTATTCTTGTTCATCTGTGTGGTTTTCTGTGCCATTGATGTTGATGTTCTACACATTTTCTGATCCCTGAATAAAAGAGAAACTAAAAATCCAAAGCGGCTTCTCGACATGTTGAAATATAACTGAGAAAGCTATGTTAAAGCTTATTTTAAACAGTGGCTAAATGACACAATCATCTGACATAGAAACTCAAGGAATTTCCCCTTAATACGTCACTACCGGCGATAATGATTGGTTCCTTCAACAATGGATTACCTCTGTTACTAAAAATAGTCGTAAACTGAAAATGATTAGTTTTGCTCTTTGAACCATGTCATCAACAGGGTTACTTGCAGGGCGTTTAGCTTTAATTACAGGTAATTGTCATAAAGTGGATAATACAGGGCCGAATCTCGAAAGTACTAGATGCTGTGAGAAATACGAACCTATAACAGAGCTTAAATTATTTCCGTTATTTCAAAGGCGAAATTGAAGCTAAAACTCTAAAAGACATTACTAGCTGATACTGATAGTTTTAGAGCTTGATTTCATCCAGCCTATCAATTTAACTTCATAAAAAAGTTGGACAATAATGTAATTTTTTATACTGCTTTCACTACCAGTGCATTTAATATTGCCACATTAAGTAGGTCAATAGCTTGGTATTAGTGAAAGTTAACACCACCCTTGTAGTTTGCTGTTATACTTAGAGTTTCATTCTGTGTTATAAACTAATATATTAATTTAATAGGTGGAGGAAGTGGTATAGGTAAATCTGTTTGTCAAGCTTTTGCTAAAGAAGGAGCTCGAGTAGTATGTGTTGACATTAATAAAGATGATGCACTGAAAACTGTTGAAGATTTACCTAAACCAGGTATTGCTTAACTTATTTTTTACGTAATATTATTGCGACATAATGATTTATATTTGCAAAATTAATGTACTTTCTGAAAGTGTCTTGGTTTAAGAAATTCATAAATTGTCATTGGAAACAATGTCAATAATTGACAACTGAAATAATTGATTTTTGTTCAAACTTACTGATCATCACGTAAATTTATTCCTACCACTTTCTTTTCTAATTCATCCATTATAATTAGATCTTGATTTTTATTGTGACATCACAATAATAGTGCAGTAAGGAAATGATCCAATGTCAAATATACAAAACACAAATATTTCCATCAAAACTATAATTGTTCAGAAAAGAGGTGTTTTTTGGTAAATTTTTATTTCTGAAAAGTGGTATATGCAGTTGAACTATAATCATTAAATTTAATTTATTTCAGAGGTTCACAAAGCATTTAATGTAGATGTTTCATCAGGTAGTGATGTTAATAATTTATTAAAAGATATTGTATCTACATTCTCTAAGCCACCATGTCTAGCTGTAAACTCTGCTGGTATAACTAGAGATACATTCCTATTAAAGATGACAGAAAAGATGTTTGATGAAGTCATTGATGTTAATTTGAAGGTTTGTTTACATGATAAAGGTTTATTCTGATATGTATGAATATGTCTATAGTTGAGTTTTAGAGGGAAATATCAAGTAAAATTTTAAAAAGGAGGTAATGTAATAACTTTCATTGTGTATCTGCATTGATTTGCACCATTCCAATTTCATCAAAAACTACTTTGTCTAACTGAAAATTTAGATGATGAAAAGAGATTCAATCTCTTTGTATACATGCATTAGAGGGAAGGAAAATCTGGCAATGAATTTGATTTCTTAATAAATGCCAACTGGTAAAATAAATATTAAAATTAACTTTATCATTGGTACTGTAGGGAACATTCTTAATAAATCAAGCTGTAGGAAGATTGATAGCTGAAAATAAAATAGAAAATGGTTCTATTATTAATATAGCTAGTATAATTGGAAAGGTAAGACAATTTCTTAAAGATAAATAATATACTACTTTTATTAACAGAACAATAACTTGACATTAAGCTGATCTTAAAAATTTTGGAAAACTCATTTTTTGGATTTTTTATGATAATTTTTTGTCTGAATGAGCTGAGTTACCCAATGTGAACAACTCAAGAATGATGATATATGATCTGCTACATTCTATTTTTGGTGGTAATGAAAGGAGTGAAGTTAAGTGACTTTATTATGTATAACGGTAACAATATTTTAATGATAATGAAAATTGGTTGCTGCTTTGAATTGCATGAAGGTTATTTTTCTAATTTTCTAGGCTGGCAATATTGGACAAGCCAATTATGCTGCCTCGAAAGCTGGTGTCATTGGTTTAACAAAAACAGCAGCAAGGGAATTTGCAAGGTAAATTTTGATAATTATCTCGCTTTAGTATGTCAAGGGAGGTAATTTCATTTTTAAAATCAATTTGATTTTTGCCTTTATAAATGTTAATTTTTATGCTCAAGAATTTATCAAATAAAACAGAGTTTGGGTAGCTGCATTGATGCTATTTGTTTTTTTATTTACAATGTAGTGTAACTTTCAGTTTTCTACCTATCATAATAGATTCGGAATTCGTGTAAATGTTGTACTGCCAGGTTTTATTCAAACACAAATGACTTCAGCAGTCCCTGATAAAATAGTACAACAAGTAGTCCTTCCACAAATACCTCTAGCTAGAATGGGCAAACCTGAAGGTAAGAAACAGTCAAATACAAACAAGTATACTCCATTTCAGTTTTAGCTAAAAGTGGCTAAATATTTGATTTATGTTAAGCTTTGAAGAAATGATATACAATTCCACAACCATACATGATCTTTCAAAGACAAACTTGGTCAATTGAAGTTTTTTGTTTCATTTAGACATTGCTGATGCCTGTGTGTTTTTAGCCTCCACTAAAAGTTCCTATGTAACTGGTGCCAGTATAGAAGTTACAGGTAATAATGACTTTTATTTCCAGTCCTACACCATCACAATGGCAAGCTGTAACAAACTGCATCTACTACCTTGACTGTAATAGACAACTTTCTTGTATCAGAGAAGTTTGTAAACACAGCAATTTGATATGATTTTTAGTTAGTGAATACAGTCAATCATAGCAAATTGTTGACAGTCTTTCTGTTGATTTTACTTGTGTGCATTTCAATTCAGGCTTCATGACAACCTGTTACTTTTGTAGATTTGATAACTAATACAGATATCTTGATATTATTCTGAAGTAAGAAATATTTTCTTTTGTAGGTGGCATGTTAATGTAGCTGATAACCAATCAAGCTCAAACAATTGTGATATTTTGTTGATAAAAAATAAAAATATGAATAAGTTTCTTGTTGCTTTGCGGTTCCTTGATTTTAGTTTCCTTATCAAAGATCTGTACATTATTGACAGCGCTGTCAATGTGTTAAGGAAAGCACTAAAGGGTTTTATTAAATTGGAAATATTATATGTCTTGAGAGAGGGGTTGCTTTTATCCAAGTCACCTAGCCTCCTGACAGATGAATCTGTACAACTATTAGTGTTGAAACGGTTAATCAGTTAACCGATTAAGGGTAGTATTTCAACCAGGTCTGATTTGAGATAATCGTTTGAGAAGTAAAAACTATTAGTTTTAGACCAGTTGTGGAATCAGTACACTGATTCGCGGTGACTTCAATGAGATACACTCATTACACTAAACTACTGGTATAAAACCCTTTGATCTGTTAGAGACTGTAGCAATAAGTGACAATGGCACCAGTCCGCAATCTTACATTGAAGCGTCTGTTTGGTATCTGTCGATTTGTACCAACAATTCGTGGAGAACTAGCCAAAATCTTCCTGAGTACTCATTTACACTTACTCTAGTCTAGTTAACGGTGAGTTACCGCCGCAAATGTGGTTTTTAACTCCTTTTATAATCTTTAGTAACAAACAGTTATTGCCGACGATTACCCGGTTTGTAAAATTCATTAACTGTTTCAACACTAACAACTACTATAAATTTTAACTTTTCAATCATGTCTGAGATCTGAAATATTTGTTGAATCCTCTCAAATTCAAAGTGGTTATAATTCTACACACATAGTTTGATAAAAATCTGACAAAAATTGTGCCGTTCATCACATTCACAATAAAATTGTGAGCATATATCAAAAATCTTGTTTGTGATATTTTTTCACACTAAGGGTACCATAAATCTATAATAGGATTTTTGTGAAACAGGACCCAATTAGTACTTTTATCTAAAAATCTAAAGCCCTCAAAAAGCATAATCACCAGGCAAGGAGAGTACATCATAAATTTATTTACAATTTAATACAGCAATATCTACTTCTTTAACCGCCAACCTTTAGAAAATGCTGAAGAATTAATGAAGAATTTTTTCTGTTTTTTATCTGGTTGTCTATGCATTGGTCCTTTCTTCTTATTTATCATTCGTTTTGACCCCTCATAAGCTCCTGTTCCACGTCTTTTAGAGGACTGGATTTCTTCAAACTTCTTCTTATTGTATCTGTAATGAGAAAGAAAGGAGTAAGACTCACTTCAATCAATCAAAGTTAGTATTCAGAAAGTGCTAAAATATACACATACCACATTTGATCAAAGTCAATAGATTGTAAATTCTAAAGCCTTTACAAGGTCATGTTAATAGACTGACAGACAGATATATGCTAATAATATACAACCACAGAAGGATGAAGGCGTATTAAAATGCCCTGATTTTCATGTATACAAGATACAATTTTGATAAAAAGAAGCTCAAGACCAAATCACTTACGTTCTAAATTCAGCATCAGCCAACAATTCATCAACTAATGTTTGTTTTCTTTGTTTTTTGGGTATTCTTGCACTATAGAAGTCTGCAGCACCTTCCACAATAGTACCAAACTGCAATACAATGATTAAGAAAGAAGAAAGGTTACAAGGATATCAAAATGCTGGATTTGCAAAACCAACCTAGTTGGTTGGTTGATAGATGACCAGACTAGAAATTTCACTATCTGTTTCTATACATGTCTATTCTATATATGGTGTAGAATCAAGAAAAGATGGAGATGTCATTGATAAATCTGGACACATATATATTTGAAGGCTCAGCTAAGCTAAAAAAAATTCCCGTTTCTGAGGCTAAGGTATGATCAGTCAAATGGATGGCGAACATTTAGAAGTCTAAATCAACATTTGATATAATTATCAAAAAACATCGTAGTACCTGACTGTATTTTGGAAAATCTGTTAAATCATTACTCTTATAAAATCGTTTAGGATCAAGAGCTTTCCTCATCTGTAAAATTTCAAAACTCTTCTTTTTATCATCACTTAAATCTGTGGCTGGTAAATCAAACCATTTTTTACCTTTTGTCATATCTCGTAATTTCTGAAATAAGAAAAACACTCATTTCAATTCTAAATCTGTAATGAACATAATATACTGCTGAATAGTATCTCTAGGTTCATGCTTATTATACATCATAAAGATGTAAGGTATTCAGGCAATATTTCTGTCAAAGCAGCTAGAATTAATGAAAAGAGAATACAGAGACTGAAGAGTGAGCGTCTTCTTACATGGCTATACCATACTAAACATTACTGTCTTCAATCCAATTTTATCTAAAGGTTGTATGATGCATTTAAGATCAAATTACCTGTTCTTTTTATCTTTAAGTAAACTTAAATGCACTGTTTACAGAATAAAAGAAGAATGTTCATTTAAACTTCACTTGCCTTTCTATCTCTTTTTATTTTCCTCACAGCTTCATGATATTTTGGTAAAGATTCTGTCCGTTCAAAATCTGTAGTTATGACGCTTTTTTCCATAACCTGGTAAACAATAAATAAATATTTATAAGGACATCCATAATCTGCCTTTAACTCTAACTTTGAGATAGCTTTTCTGAATTTACAATTATACATTGTATCCATTTAAAAGTAAGCCTGTACAGAAAATTTGTATGAAAATTGAGAAGATAAATAGGAATTACTTTCACCACTAATCGAATACACTACAAGTTACTATAACTGCACACAATTATATGGATAACAATTACGATGTACTTATCAAGCAATGCATCATTGAAACGTCACATGTTATTTAGTAAAGTAATTGTTATCCATATAATTGTGTCCAGTTATTCATACCCCAGTTACTAAATGCCACTCAAGGAAGTAACAATTTACTAGAAGACCATATTCAGGAAATTTTTAGATGTATAATTAAATTTGGGGTTTTGATTTTGATAGTTTGCCCGACTAGTATGTGAAGAAAAAGTAATTTTTTCATATTAAAAAAAATATAAATTACCTTCAAGTCTTTTTGGATACTGTTCTTCTGTAGTTTAGTAAATTCATCCATCTTTTTGGTTGGATTTTTCCATGGTTTAACATTAATGTAGATTCCTGGTAACTCCATACCAGCACCTATCTCTGATGCTAATTGGAATCTATTCAACATAAAAAAATATTCTAGTTCAATCAAAATCAACCATTTTGTATTTAATCATTTGTTCTTCTATAAGTGTCTTGTCAGTACTCTGAGATAACAGTAGTAACAAAATCAAATTTTAAGAGAAACTATATAGTCAAGTAACCTAATTTCATGGTAACCTATTATTCGTGGATTTCCGGAAAGGATTAATAATTTACATGAGCGACCTTGCGTGACCTCCACATTTGCTTGTTTTGATAAACATGGGTTATCTCTACAATATCAGCTAGTAGAATGAATTCAGTAGTTTCAAGCAAGGTAAAATTATTAATGTATACTTTGACAAATAGAAAATGGCGGATTTCACTTATTATCAAACGTCACCATTTTTTATCGGCCCAATTTTCTTATAATCCCAAGCGGTAATCGGAATTCCAAGTGTCGTCTGCTAGAATGTAGGCCAACGAATGAAGTCACGTGATCAACTAGCGGATTCCGTGTCAGCAGAAAATTTCTATGAAACACAATGTGGACCATATTCTTATGTTGTTTCAGTGACTTTTAGCAATAAATCATACAACGTATCTTATCTTTTTTTAAAATCGTGGTTTTTTGAAGGAATTGTCACTAATTATAATGAATTGATATTAAAGATAAATACTAAGAGAAGTTAATTATACCACACTCGATCCCATTGAATCCAATAATACTTGATTCCCCTCTCTATTTTCTAGCTCATTAAGTATAATACATGCTAATCCTTATATATAGATGTTTATCTTTTCAGAACCTATTCATACTCTCTTCTTTTAGAACTGGTAACAAGAAAACTTTCATATTATAGACTTTTGTTTATTGTAGATTACTCGTAGGTGTTTTTTGAACTTAATACTAACTATGCTAACTTCACCTTATCTTGTATTGAACATTTATCTCTTTATTTGTGACCTTGGCCAGTGCTTTACATAGAAGTTTTTAGGAACTTCTTCACTCTTAACACCCAGTATCCATACGACATGTTTGTCTTGACTTATTTATAGATCAAACTCTATGTTTAAACAACTTAGAAAGTGATATGTGAATATAGCACGCTTTAGCCAATATTGAATCAACAAACATTAACATTGTTCTATTAATATGAATTGCCACATACTCATTATTTTTCTTATTTCTTTTTTTCTCATCATTGTTTAGATTTGCAGCATATTTGCTTTTTGTTCTTTTGGGTTTTTTCTTTTTATCACCCAGATTATCAATTTGAGAGTCTTTATCTGAAGCTGTCATAGGTTTTCTGTCTATTGTAAATAATTCAATATCATTGGAATCTGTCACATTATTAGTGGAATTGATATTTTGTTTTAAGACAAGCTCATCATCACTATCATCAGATACTCCAGAACTAGCAGAACTATCTGTGTCCATTTGTTCATCATCTGAATATTCCCTGATGGTTTTCGAAGCAGCATTGACCATACGATTGAACTCTTCATCAGAACTACTAGACTCATCCGAATCCATTTTAGATTACTGTTAGATCGTTATGCCCTAATTATTGGAAATTGTTGAATTATTTTAATATGTTTACAAAACATTAAAACACATGTTGAAGCCTAACAACATTTCCGGTTAAGCAGTAGGACATGATTACTCAAGAAAAATAGGTCAAGAAATTAGAGCCTGTTTGAAGAGTGCTAATCGTTTGTATCAACAAAATTAAATATTTTTGATTAGTGTCTATCTTCACAAAAATAAGCAACAAAAAACACGATGTGAGTAACAGTAAAAAAAATTATATATTTATATAACTAGGCGGAGTGATACGGGATATAAAGTGAAAGTAAAGGTACTACATTATTCCACTTTTTATTTACAACATACATGACCTTTGAACAGATTAGTTCATTGGAGTTGCAAAACTATTTGATCAAAAATGGCAGGTGTTGTAAGACAGGTAAAATTCCATACATTCAAGTTAAAAAATGTCTTTTAATCATTTCTACAAGACAGATAAATTTTCATTTACAATCTTGCAGATTCTGTCAATGCCAAAAAAAAAGATGATCTGTTTATTATTATATGGCGATGTGGACTTCAATAACAAAGTTTATAATTACATAAAGCCATTCTTAAGTGGTAATACTATAGGCCCCTAAAGGCAATGGATAGGTGCAAGATTTATGAAAATTAAAACAGAGCCCATTATTCTTTTAGATTTAGAATAAATGAATAAAAATATAAAAAGTACATTTGTTCTTATTTTTGTATAAGTGATTTGGATATCAAAGTGGTATATTGAGGTCAAAGTCTACAAGCTTATAAATAAAATATAAGGTAATAAGATTTGATAGTGTTTACATGATGTTTTAGGTATGTCGTGTTGGTGGTGCAGTAAGACGACATGGTGTTAGGTCAATGTCAACAGGTAGTCAAGGATTGTCATTTGGTAAGTTAAGGTCACGATATAATAATTCTTCTATTGTTATCTAAAGTAAGGTAACTGAAATTTTTTTTACCCATTTATTTAGTGGAAATCTGACAATTAATTGATTTAGCAGTTAAAACTTAATTATATTTCACTTAAAGGGTAAGGTGCGCCATTTTTTTGATCAATCATATCTTAGTCTCAGAAACGAGAATATTTTTTAGCTAAGCCAACCAGCTCATAGTCGATATTTGAGCTTTCAAATCTATTTTGATAGTGAAAAAGGCAAGTCTTCCTTTCTCAAGACACTTCCACATATAGAAAAGACTTCTATAGAAATAGGAAAAGAATTCCCTTTTTTTGACTGAATTAGGCGATTTTTGTACATTTTTAGTACTTCTGAAGACTATGTACATATATTCAAGACTCAAACCAACCCTCTAAAATTGAGCATGTGACTCTTTAACATAATAAATAATTGAGGTTTGACTGATGATAAATTCCTTGTTGGATCCTGATTTTTTCCAGAGTTCTAGAGGAAATTAAATACCATATTATGTCAACATTTTATATGTGTTTCTAGAATTAACTCAAGAACAGAAAGAATATCAAGATTTGGCCAGAAAGTTTGCTAGAGAAGAAGTAATACCTGCAGCACCAGAACATGATAAAACAGGAAAGGTAACTGGACTAAGCAAGATAGTTTCTTTTATAGGAGCCTTTAATGCTGTATAATGGTTGATCTCATTTATGTCAAACTGCAGAATATAAGCACAGTGGACAGTGAAACTTGTCAAAAAATCAAGGCAATTAATTGCAGCTTTTTTAGTATCTACCAAATACTACAATATTTTCTTAGATTCAAGCCCATTAGGCCTATTGTGTATTTTAAGCTTGTGGAATAATGGTACATACATACAATATGCTGTTTATAATAGGATTGGTTTCAGTAATTTTGTTCTATTTTTATAGTATCCAATCGAAATTTTGAAAAAGGCCTGGGAAGTTGGATTAATGAATAGCCATATATCTCCTAAATATGGTAAATATCACTTTTACTGTTAATAGAGAGTTGAATGATGTTAAAGTGCAAAAAAAATTCAATACCTGTTGGAATACTTTTGCAAAGTGTCTTTGGAATATCAGCTGACAGTAGATGATTGCTGTAGAATAATTTGGTATCAAATCTTTACTTTTATCAATAAAATTGTATTTAATGCCATGGTATTTAGTGAATTATTTTATTTGAATATTGTGTTCTAAGTGTTTCATTTATTGTTTTAGGTGGATTAGGGTTGGGAGTTTTAGATGCCTGTATTATAACAGAAGAAATAGCTTATGGTTGTACTGGTATACAAACAGCTATTGAAGCTAACTCTCTAGGGGTTTGTTAAATTTTCATTTGTGTGATCAACTTTTAGCATTTTTGACGACAATATTTACTTATGTCTGATCTATCGCCTACACTATTTTAAACAATAAACAGCAATTGTTTATAAAACTATACTGAAAACTAATAAGTCTCTTTCTCGATAAATCAGTTAAAGGTCATGGGTTGGAATTGCAAATTCCGTTTGGATCAAAAACCACGGTAACATGCCATTCATTTCCTGCCAAAACTTTTCTCATTGCAAACTGTAGGGCATTGCCCATTGTGTAGGAAAAAAAAAATGCAGATGATTAAGATGTAAATCTTTATTTCATTAAGGAAATGCCAGTCATTATTGCTGGTAATGAAGATCAGAAGAAGAAATATCTTGGTAGAATGATAGAGGAACCTTTAATGTGTGTAAGTAGTGAAAGTAATAGCTCTTGAATATTGTCCTCTATTGTCTTTATACTGTATATATTTGTGCATAGTGCACAGTTTTTTTTACCCTAGACTTTACTTTCAAAATCATCGAGATTATGTGGGATTTACCTCCCAAAACTTGAATTGAAAGCTTTATGGACATCTTCACACACTACTTGCCTTTCTTTTTAGGCGTATGGTGTAACAGAGCCAGGAGCAGGTTCAGACGTAGCTGGTATTAAAACTAAAGCTATTAAAAAGGGAGATGATTATATTTTAAATGGACAGAAGATGTGGATAACCAATGGAGGTGTAGCTAATTGGTATTTTGTATTAGCTAGAACTGATATGGACCCTAAAACATCAACAGGAAAGGCTTTCTCTGGTTTTATTGTAGAGAGAGATTGGGCAGGGGTTAACCCTGGTCGAAAGGTACAGATATTTCATTTACTATGCAAATTTGTAGTTCTAAAGTTCTTGTATTTCTCCAATTAATTTATTTCTATCAACACTGAATAAAAAGTATGTGCACTCATTTGATATGCAAATCTGGAGTTCCAAATTTTATTGTACTTGCATTCATTTATTTTTATGAATCATGAGAGAGTCTTTATTATAATAAATCTGCTCTGTATATATATATTGAAAGAAATAATAGTTGTCATTTTATTAAAGGAAATCAATATGGGACAAAGGGCCTCTGATACACGAGGTATAACGTTTGAAGATGTTAGAGTTCCTAAAGAGGTGAGGCCATTTTTTGTTAATATTAAGATTTATATATTCTTATATAGAATGAAACCAAATGAAATGGAGAAGCATCATAATTTTCTACACTTTAAGACAGATAATTCTCATTAGCAATAGAATGACTCAGTCAGTAACGAGTAAGATTGTCGTCTGCTAGACGATTAGATGCAGTGGTTTGAATCCTCCTTTAGGAAATATACAATCGGATTCCGTAGCCAGTGCCAGAGTCTGACTGCTGTCATTACTTAACACTCATTGTAATACTATCATCATTAACATGAAGTTTGTAGCGAGTGCTTGCTGCTTGAACTGAATCAACTGGCTTAGTAATTGATGAAGTTGTGTCAAAGAAAGCATCACATGATAAATAATTAATGTATTTAACTTGTAGAATTTACTTGGTGAAGAAGGTATGGGATTTAGAATTGCTATGGGAGCTTTTGATAGAACTAGACCACCAGTACGTAATAATTTCTTTTCTTTAAAAAAAAAGTTGTTCTTTATCTAATCTTTATCAGAAATTTGACAATATGTAAGATATATAAAGCTCAAATTTTATCTGTAAAGTTATGTGTTTAACTGTATGAAGATTTTGAGCATGATATATATTGTGAAAAGGAGATCAGGTTCAATCAATGTGGACTAATTGGCTTCTGGGTTTAAACCGTGTAAGATTACCATAATTACCTATTTTCTATTGAAATTGTGATGACTTGAATTAAATCTTTCATTAAATGCTTTATTTCTCACAGACATTAAAGTTATTATAGGTCATAGGTCATTAACCATGTGATTTTATTTTATTACATTATAGGTGGCAGCAGGTGCAGTAGGTTTAGCTCAAAGAGCTTTAGATGAAGCAACTAAATATTCATTGGAACGTAAAACTATGGGGAAATTTATTTGTGAGGTATAATTCTTTTTAATTTTCTTATTCAAAAATATTCAAAAGTGTGGTAATATAAACTGAAATATCTTAAATCACTTTTTACACAATGGCTGTCTTGTAAAAAGTTGTTTCAAAGACATTTCTTGATAAGTGTAGAGATATGCCTGGAAGACAGTGGCATAGGGACAACTATTTAGAGCATCGGGATATTGAACACTATTCATGATTAAACATTTTGACCAAGAAATAGATCATAAGGTGATTTTGTAATAAAAGTAAAAGCTCCAGGATTAGAAATGAAGTGATTGGTTTTGTTTTTCAACTATATTTATATCTTTCAGCATCAAGCAGTATCATTTATGTTAGCTGAGATGGCAATGGGTATTGAAGCATCAAGATTATTAACATTGAAATCAGGTTATGAAATAGACAATGGTAGAAGAAATACTTACTATGCCTCTATGGCTAAAGCTATGGCAGGAGATGTAGCTAATAAATGTGCTAGTGATGCTGTTCAGGTCTTTTCTTTTGACATTTTCTCTTCTTTTTCTCCTAAGTTATGTTACTTCGCTCAAATTTTTGTATTTTGTAATTTCACAAATTCTGCTTTATGAAAATATGTCTCAAGATATCAGTTAACTTTAACTTTATTTTTATTGACCTTTGAAAATTCAGAGAAATTTGTACGAAGTATTATTTTACCTTCTTGACGATATATGAAATGTTAATTAAAAATCAAACTATATATTGTTTAGATATTTGGAGGAAATGGTTTCAACTCAGAATATCCTGTAGAAAAGTTAATGAGAGATGCTAAAATATATCAGGTAAGTGGCTGTATATGTATGCATTTGTAATTATTTTGGGTAATGATAACGTTCAGAAATGTTATTAACCAAGCCTTAAGATGAGGGTAATTTTATTATTTAGATGATGAGTTAGGTTGATTCATCTAGTCAAATTCTGTTTATAATATGCTTAAACTATGGGTATTATCATTACTATGTGATGTTGTGGTCAAGTGTCAGTATTTCACAGTGTTATTAACTGACATACTTAACTGAAATACTAACAATAAACTGAAGCTATATTTCTTATTCTAGATTTATGAAGGAACGGCTCAAATTCAACGATTGATCATTTCTCGAGAACATATAGCCAAGATGAAACAAACTATGTAAAATCAGGAATGTATTAAAGAATCTCTAGAGAATCAACTAGGGAAAATCAGTCTACCTCACAAAATGATATAAAACAGATAACATTGCAGCTCAATTTCATTTTCCTTTTTTCTCACTGTTCATCTGAATCAAAGAATGTGGCATTTCTTATTTTATGTCAGGCATGAAAATTATATCTCAGACTTACTGTATTCAGTTTAATGATAGAGGTGTGTACATCATATATTTATATAACTTAATGTTTCATTTAATATACATTTATAACAACTGTTCAATGTCTTTCATCATCTTCTTTTAAATTCATTTTCTCAAATCAAAAAGTTTTCCTGTCATAGAGAAATTTTGTCAAGTATAATTTATTAAAATCCATGCCATGTTTTGGTTATATACTAAGATGTATATTTACTTCTGCCAAACAGGAAGTAGATGACTTTGTCATTGAATTGAAATTATGGTGGTCATAATACCAATAAATATATATCAAAGCCAGACAATGTGGTGCCCCTGACAAATTTAAATGATGAACATAATTAACAGTGCTCTTGTTTAATATGCCTGTGTTCTGATTATTAATTTAATGACTTATTTAAATTGTAAATATAATGATTAATGTAAATTTATTGTTAAAATTGTTCATGTTTCTATTTACAATAAATATTATTGAAACCTATAGTTTTAGTCCATACCATCTTAATTGTTACATAATAAACTTGTGACACATATTGCCAAGTTTCGAGGGTCAAGATTTATACCAACCTGATAAGAAATATGTCTATATTATTATCAACATGATAGTGATCCACATTTTTCTAACCCAAAAACATTGAGTAGGATGGTTATAGATTATCCTACAACACATCTCTTCTGTAAATATGATAATAATGTATATTATTGGACCGATTATTGGATAATTAAGTGTACACCAATATTTGGTCAAGCTCATTGCTCGGCTCAATCTTCAAAACTTCTATGAGTGAACTACTTCACTCAGTTTTGTCCAAATTCATCAATAATTCTGCCTTTAAAAGTATTTACTTTCAAAAAATGGGAAAATACAAGGGCAATAATTCTTATTAAATATATTTTAAATGGGTTGTCCATTGGCGAGTGATAATTAAATATTTCACCAAGGTTTGTTCAATAATTTTTAGAGTGTTCACAAGCTAAAAATTGAAATAATTTTGAAGAACAAAGGCAATAACTTATACAAAATATAAATTTTGATAATTCGTTACATTTTGGATTTAAAAATTTTGTAAAGGTAAAAAATTACATTTAGCCAGCCATGCCATGATTTGTTGATTAATTAAATTAATGTTTTTCTATTTCTGGAATCTGTTCAATTCTTAATGAGACAAACTTGTGAATTTGCCAGATGAGTGAACTGTAAAGTCACTTTAGTGTTTATTGAATTCAACATAATAGTTCAAACTTTCAAAGATGAAAATATTGTTACATTATTGTGTGGTAAAACAAGGCTATTAAAGATATGATGGTTTTTTTATTGCATGCAATAAAATGTGTTAACAATAGCCCTGGTCGCCATGGGAATAGTGTAAACAAACTACCTGTAATCAACTAAATGGGTCAAGCCTACTGTCATGTCAATAAGATCATTGTTTTAGACCTTGATGTCAATGGAATTATGTGTTGTAATTGTGAACTACATGAAATCATGGATTATTTCATTAATCTCATAAAATCCCTTTATCTAACAGGATTAACAGGTACCTTGAAGAGGATTAAGCTATTAAGATTACTCTTATTGAATAAAAGTACTTCATTTTACTACCGAAGGCCCACTGAACAAAACACAATGTATGTACATTCAATGAATACTCTATTAATATACAAGATATAAGAAAGGGGTAGTATTTGCTGAGAAGATCTTAGATTTTCGTGAAAGAGTTGATATCACATTAAATTGGAGAAATAACCAAATGACATTATGTGTGGTGGAAATCAAGTGAAAGATATCAGTGATGATGATAAGAAATATGGTAAGTATACAATTAAAATACCGTTTTGATTTCATTCATGAACTTTTATTAATAGTGGGTATCTTGGACAAATCAGTTTTAACACATATCAAGTCCAACTCTACACTTGAGTAAAATTCATTATAATGAGAACTCAGATAACAATATATTAGTTTGGCATACAGTCACTTAAACACTGAACTTCTTAGACATAGAAGTAGTGATATTTATGCTTCCTTTAACAATAAGTTCCAGATATGGAAAAAGGTAGGCTGTAAAAATGAAAAATGACGAGACCTACTGTTGTTTAGGTGTATAAATAATATGTAAAGAATGGGAATTGTCTTGGTTTAAATTTATGCAGTGTCTCCAAAAGAAAATTCCTGTCTTCATTAGCCCACATGGTGCAGAAAAACTCCATTCATTTCATTTCCAAACGAAAATTCACCAAAAGTATTTGGTTTTGTTAGGCTTAAACATCCATCTGATATTTCACTTAAAAGTAACCTATTCTGGACATTTAATCAAATTCATTTGTTATGTAGATGGGTGGGGTAAAATCTAATATTCAAAAATAGAAATTATATTGAAACATCTGCCTTTAATTCAAAGCTATTTTTTCATTTGTCGGCTTGAGTAAAGTCAGAAAATTAGGCTCTGTTTTATGGGGATTTCCAAACCACAGATGTGACATAAATGATAATGATTGTATGAAAATATCCATTTTTCTAAATATATCTGGGTTTTGAGGATCTGATTTAATTTAATTGGATTTAGAAAACGTCCACCTTCAGATGTGCAGAAAACCCCAAGAAAACAAGGCCTAGTTTTTCTGTCTCTATACCGGTATTGCTATCAGAAAATGTTTCGGTTTAGGTAGAATGCTTCCTTTTGACACAACATCTTTGCTGCTATGCCAGATAAACACATATTTGATCTGTAATTTTTCAGGTGAAGAAAAGAAGTTTGATCCATCTTTTAATGGTCCTATTAAAAATAGATCTTGTACAGATGTATTATGTTGTTTGATATTTTTAATATTTGTTGTTGGAATGGTGGTGTGTTCTGCTTTAGGTAATAGAAGTTTTATTAAATATCTACTATGCCTGGGAGTTGGTAATCAATCTCCCAAAGTTTTTTACTTCATGTAATTTTATTTTTGCTCAAGAATCAAATGGAATTTTGAGAAAATCTAATATCAAATCTTAGAAACCAGGAATTATACAGGTAATGTTAAGAAAGAAAATAGTGATAAATATAATTTGATTTTGTCTTAAAGTTTTTATCCCAACTGAAACTTACTGTGTTTATTTACTATCAGGTTATGCACATGGTGATCCTACAAAGTTAGTCTACCCAACAGATAGTGATGGCAACCTGTGTGGTTCAGGAAATTTTGCGTAAGTAAAAAAGTATTTAACAAAATTGTTGCATTTATATCAATGAAAGTATTAAATGAAGTTAATTTTTCACAATTAGTCAACTTGCTCTGAAAACTAGGTAGGAATTTTGCAGATCCAATTATGTTTGATTTGAGAATGAAAGAAAGAAAGAATGAATGAATTGAATTGAATTGAATTGAATTGAATTGAATTGAATTGAATTGAATTGAATTGAATTGAATTGAATTGAATTGAATTGAATTGAATTGAATTGAATTGAATGAAATTGAATTGAATTGAATTGAATTGAATTGAATTGAATTGAATTGAATTGAATTGAATTGAATTGAATGAAATTGAATGAAATTGAATGAAATTGAATGAAATTGAATTGAATGAAATACATTAAAACATATAGAGATTGAGTCAAAAACACAATGTTAATATATTATTTTTTAATTTTAGTGACAAACCAAACTTGATGTTTTTTGATCTATTGGATTGTGCTAAAATGGGAGCTGGTGTAATAGTCTATGGTTGTCCAACACCACAGGTGAGAGTACTGACCACTGGTCATGCAGATTACAACATGATACATTGCTACTTACTTCTTACTAAATATACAAACCAAACTTTCTACTAGAATTTGTATTTGCAAGAAGTGTGATATTTTTTTTTTTTTAGATGTTTTTATAGATGAGCTTCAAAAATTGCAATCTACAGACATTAAGGTCAACCTTAAAATTTTGCTAAATTATTTTCAGGTGTGTGTGGAATCATGTACTACATCTTATTATGTCTACCTGCAAACTATAGCTTTAGAAACAGCTAATGGTGGAATGATCACTGCAGAGAGAAATAAAATGTTATGTAAAAATGGTGTTGATCCTACTGCTACGGTAAACTTTCTTATTAGCAAAATTTTGATACAAATCATTGTTATGGTTTTAAATTAAATATACAAAAACTAGTGCATACTGGAATAACTATGATTTTACTTGATATAACTTTGATGATCGGACATAGTTATGTTGGTGTCAATTTCATGATAAAATTTATCCAGTTTTTACTATGATAGACATGACATCTGTTTTTTTTTTTAGGCTAATGTTCAAACATTGGTAGATAATGAACAATGTGCTGCTTATTATGTAGAAAATACTGCAGGTAAGGTTGATTTTCATTTTGTTTTGGAAGAAAATTTCTAAAAGATATTTGTAAAAATTTCAAGCTGAATAAATTTACCCACCAAAAAAATAACTTTTTATGATATTTGCTTACTTTTAAAAACTCATGATGTATTTTTTAGTAATTGGAAGATGTGTGCCTGCCATATTTAACCAAATCACTAATTTAGCATCTAATTTAGTTACCAATGAGTCTTATTCCTTACAAAATAAAGATGGTACTAATGTAACAGGCTCTGCTCTTGACTCTGCTAGCTAGTAAGTACAACACTGTTTTGTATAATTTTCTCTAATGGAAGTATATTGTGAGACTTGTTTGCATTTTAATAGTAATTTCCACTTGTTATCATTTTCAATTGTTTTAAGGTATTTCCAACAATTTTTCATTTATTTCACATCATTTTATTATTATTTACTCACTGGTTATCATTTTTAATATTTTGTAACATTATTTCTCATATATTTCAGTTATTTGGCATTATTTTATCAGTATAAAGAGTATGGTGAGCTAGTTTATAAAGATATTGTAACATCCTGGATCACTCTTCTTATGTAAGTTGATAATTATTCTAAAAAAATGTCGAAACAGTGGCTAACTACACATTAATAATCTTAGTCCTAAGTGTAGGTCCTGGCTTCCTAAAGCATAGGAACATAAAATTTTCTGTCACATTTCCGTGGTCGATTTGGTGCTTTGTTATTATGTTTATTATAAATTCTTATTTTTGTTTCTATGAATTGTTATTATTTTAGTGGTTTAGGTGGTGATGTGTTATTATGTTTATTATGAATTGTTATTATTTCAGTGGTCTAGGTGGTGCTGTGTTGTTATGTCTAATATGAATTGTTATTATTTCAGTGGTGTAGGTGATGCTGTGTTATTATGTTTATTATGGATTGTTATTATTGTACTGGTCTAGGTGGGACTGTGTTATTTTTGTTTTTTTTTTTAATTGTTATTATTTTAGTGGTCTAGGTTCTGCTGTGTTATTATGTCTAATATGAATTGTTATTATTTCAGTGGTCTAGGTGGTGCTGTGTTGTTATGCCTAATATGAATTGTTATTATTTCAGTGGTCTAGGTGGTGCTGTGTTGTTATGGTTAATATGAATTGTTATTATTTCAGTGGTCTAGATAGTGCTGTGTTGTTATGTCTAATATGAATTGTTATTATTTCAGTGGTCTAGGTGGTGCTGTGTTGTTATGGTTAATATGAATTGTTATTATTTCAGTGGTCTAGGTGGTGCTGTGTTGTTATGTCTAATATGGATTGTTATTATGAGATGGATAGCTGGTATTATGGTGTGGTTCTCTATTGTAGCTTTCCTAGGGCTATTTGGTTTCTGTAAGTATTTTATGTCACTAGGAGCAGTTGAGAAACAACAGAAACAAAAGATGACAAAGTCCATCAAAAACAACATTGGAAAAATCTATGAAGAGGGTATACATTGTGTTTTCATTATCAAATTGTACTTTAAAAAACTCATTTCAAAATCTTGTTTATTTCAGCGACATATTATAGTTATAGTAAATATTATGAACTAAAAACTCAGAATTCTACAGCAGAAATTGGTTTATCTCAAGCCTTTGCTTTGAATTTTAGTTATTATTTGTCTTTAAAACAAACCTGGCTGGCATTTGGTAAGTTTTTTTTGTCAATTTCTCATATGAATTTCTCATTTGAGATAATGTTATGTATTGCAAGCTTGTTACTCAAAAACCAATTTCTTTATGTAAACTTACATACTTACACAAATATGTATTCTTTGAACCATGCAAAAATATATCAACGAATGTTTGTAAGTTAATTGTTTGTTATTGTATTTGTATATTGATATAGGATGTGGTTCAGCTACTGTGTTGATAATATTACTATTGATTATAATATTTCTGTGTAGTAGAATAAGAATAGCTATTGAACTTATTAAAGAGGCTAGCAGGTTTGTTTTTAGTGTTAATATATCAAAGAAAGAAACAAAAACTACATTTCTCAATAACAACATAGATTCACAGTTAAAGATCCTTTCTAACAGCTGGTACTTGGCCAAATCTCTCAGTGTTGATCTTTCCCAGATTATCCATACCCATTTACTGCTAGGTCAACTATAATTATGAGTAGTGTTCTAACCGACTGTGCTATAGAATTACTTCACAAAATGAAAATTCACGAAAAAGTGAAGGATAAAAAAGATGCAGTAATCAAACTGAGATATCTTATGCCAAGACTGTAAACTTGGTATCCCTTCATACATATTCCACATAGTTAGATATTGTTTAATTTGTATATTTAATACCTATATTGACATAAATTAATCAACTTGGTTTTCTGACTAATGAGACTAATAATTGAAATTTGTCTTCTGTTAGTTGATTAATGTTTTTCTCTATTTCAGAGCTGTTGGAAGTATGTTTTCAACCTTACTGTTTCCTATAGTACCATTCATATTCCAGATAGCTTTTCTTGCTTATTGGGTTGTTAGTGCTGCGTATCCTTTATAATTAACTATCTTTTACTTTTCCCTTTGTAATAGAATACAATTTATGTCAGATTTGACCTATGCTTATGTATTTAAGTGAATTATTGCCATCATTTGAGACAAATAATCACAAAGTGTTTTGAGGATATTGTATAGTATGACAGCCAAATCACAATCTTCTATGGTTGTAAGTGGCTACTGTATGGGTTTTTAAGTTTGGTGTATAGCTCACTGTTTTTAGTTGGTCGCTCATTATACATCTAAAAACCAATGTTCATTCAAAGTTAAAATTCCTTGACCAGTATATAGTTTTGTTGCGTCTATGGGATCAGCTGAATATAAAGGTGAAATACAGAATACTACATCTGATGGTGTTAATTATGTATTAGAGAGAATACCTTGTACTCCTAATGTATGTAATAACCTTTTATATTATTTGTTAATTTCAAAATACGTCCAACTTACATTTTATTTACCTTTTTTTAATTACTCATCAATTTCATTAGTCTGCAATATTCCTATATTTTCAAAATTGTACATGTTGTTGAGACTGCTTCAAAAATTTGAGCTCATGTCAAATGGTGGGTTTTTCTCCTTCCAAAAAAGTAGGACAGTCTGCATCTCTACTGGCTTCAAGCATACTCTTCTGGAACAATATTCATCTTAATCCAAAATAACAGTATAGTTAGTATTATTACCAATAAATGTAAATTAGTAATTTTACCTCTTCATTTATTTCATAGGATACATCTACAGTCAATAGTATTTGTGAATTTGTTAAATATGGCGGAAATGAGTAAGTAACATCCTATCAGGGTTTACCTGATTCAATCAACACACCATCAGAAATATTGTTGATGGTATATAAACCAAAATTTTATATAGGTGGCTTACTTAATTGTTTAGACATTTCACAACCATGTGACATTTTGACTGACAGCTTGCGTATGGTTCTCAGTAAGTTAGATCATAAAGTAAAATTCACTCCTTCTGCTCACTTCTTATACTAAATTTTACCAACTATTATTACAACAGACAATAAATGTATTGTTTTTGGTTATCTTCATTATGATTAGTTAAATTTTTTCAGGTACACCATATTTATGCAGGTTTATATGTTGTTTGTATTTCTATGGGTGATGAATTTTATTGTGGCTTTAGGACAGATTGTATTAGCTGGAGCCTTCGCCTCATATTACTGGGCATTTAATAAGCCTGATGATATCGCAGCATTCCCTCTAGTAGCCTCATTTTGGAGAGCAATAAGGTTAGTTATTTTTTATTATGAACTTTTATTATGAATTTTGTACTTTTTATTATGATTTTTTTTAGGAACTTTTAATTAGGAACTTTTATGTTTGATATGGTGAAAATCTCAACTAGAAATCTGTCAACATGATAATATTGCTATATTGATTATATAATGATATAATTTTTTTATATAAATCCATCATTTATTTCCCCTTTCAGATATCATCTTGGTTCTATAGCATTTGGTGCTTTTATAATAGCTGTTATTCAAATGATCAGAATTGTGTTAGAATACCTTGATGCCAAACTGAAAGGTTCTGAAAATACTATAGCAAGATTTTTTTTGAAGTAAGATATCTTTTTTTTTATTTTTCCATTTAATATTTTCATAACAACTACAGTTAAAAATAATGACATTTTAATCTAAATTTTGAAATTTTTAATTCAGATGTTTGAAGTGTTGCTTTTGGTGTTTAGAAAAATTTATGAAATTTTTGAATAAAAATGCTTATATTATGGTAAGTTATGGCTCATTATTATGTTATAATTGAAAAAATAATTGAATTAAAAAATATTCCTGACTTTTGAAAAGGCCAGACTCACTATGTATGTTAAAAAAAACCTCTAGATTGATGAATACCAAAAATAGTGATTAGATAGTGTACATTTATTTAGCTAAAATAGTACAGTAAGAAAATTTAAATTATCTTATTTTGATTTTACAGATAGCTGTAAGAGGGAAGAATTTCTGTGCCTCGGCCAAAGATGCATTTTTTTTAATAATGAGAAACATTGTCAGGTAAATGTTTGATTTTATCATGAATGCAAGCTTATATAGACTAATGCATAGTTTGTTCATTTGAGATTTTGATATGAATAATATCAGTTGATTAACTGGTTGCAATTTCATTTACATTATTTATATTTTTTAGATGTGTGGTATTAGATAAAGTAGCTGATTTTTTACTGTTTTTAAGTAAACTAATTGTAACAGCAGCCATTTGTAAGTAACGTCTAATATTCATAGTTTAAAACAACTGTAGATGTCTAATCTATGACCAATGAATTAATGATTGCATTAAGAATATAATGATGATAATATGAATGATGAATACATGATAATTTATTAGAAATACCAATTAATAAAATGGTTTGCTGAAATTATTCACTCTGTTGACTT